GTCATGCCATACAGAGTCTCTCAAGCTTCATGGTGAGCTGTGTTGCTGTTCAGGGTGTTCAAGATTTTTGTCTTACGTTTCCCGGTGCAGTCCAGTGCAGTGTACGGTAGTCCGTTGTGGCCCCCGATGGCCCTAACCACCCTGCCGGGATATATTCCCTTGGGATCTATGTGGGTCTCGCTGTGATACCCACCTCGCTGTGAAAATCCTACCAAAGTAATGGTACACGACTCTTGCGCGCAAAAACGCCATGATTTGCCGACAGCCACCTACTCGACGGCATATCCACTTATCTCTGTGCCGCGAATCCGGTACATGAAGTTGCATTCCGTCGTTGGCTGTGTTAAAAACAGCAAAGCGCCGGACCCCCTGGAGCCCATGGCTAGCTAGCGTAACCGGTGCCATAATGAAAGGAGTAAAGGACGAATGTTTCGATAGCGTGTTGTAGATGACATGGTATCGTAGCGAAACTGTCTTGGAGTTTTACTACCTTGAGGCCTTTCAGACCAACTTGCGCTGCGTACGATGTAGTAGTAAAATGCTTGGCTTACTTTTTCTTTCTACACTTCCTCTTGCCTTTGGTTATATGATTCGTTTTGAATATGAAACAGGCTTGCAGCAATGTGTGTAGTAGAGACTTAACACGGAGTCACAACCTTAACCTTTATAGTGTGTTCTTTATGATAAAATGATATGACTTAAAACTGAGATGGATTCTGGGGAGCGTCCACAACCTGTAGGTTCTTGGCGCGTGGATCACGAGATGCGGGCGCGAGCCCTTCGGCTCCTGACATTGTCAGTTAATTCTCGGCGGGCTTCTCGAGGCCCGGCGCTGAAGCTGCTGCCCAGGTCTGAGCTTGTGCAATTTCTGGGCCTGCGTAGCTTTGCAGCCTCTTGATTACGCTTCGGAATTAGCATACAAACAGTAGTCTGCGACGGCTTTGCGACAGTGGTCTGCGACGGATCTATACATCAAGACGATACGCCTAAGTCCGTGATTTAGTGTATGATGAGCATTAGCCGTTACACTGTTGTGTAATTCGTTAATCGCCATAGGGCTCTCGCGTTCTCTGTTGCGCTTTCCCGTACTTCCGTCGGTGAGCAGTCGTAAAGCTCCTCACCAAGTCTGGTTAGATTGGATAATCCCGAATGATGGATTGCGAGCTGTCATAACGACTGTTCACCGATGGAAGTACGGCAAAGCCTGTTGGCGAATAACGAAGACGAAAAAGAATGTGAGAGTAATGTAACAGCTGCATGGATAAGGCCTAGTAAATCATAGAGTGTCTGCTAGTTTCTGAGAAACTAAGCAGCGAATACAGTGCGATCACCTCGATATACGTTACATAGGTCTGGGATTAGAGCGAGGATTAGGCTTTAGGCCTGCGCGCACCGACTCCTATTCTCGGCGGCTGCCAGAGTTAAGGACTATTCTTGTTTTGGGCAAAGGCATGTGCAGTTGATGCAGCTACCGGCCGCTAATCAACATCAGCAGCTCGCTGACTTTGGGCCGGGGTAGAGGGTAGGACACACTGTCGGGCAGAGCAATTCTTTTGACTGCCCCGGTCGCACAATTCCCGTGCTTCCCTAATTCGACACCCTGAACACGCTAATTCTGACTGTCCGAATGTCCCTGCCAGGCCAATTCGACACCCTGTCAGCCTAATTCTGACTGTCGGAATCTCCCGCCAGGCTAATTCGTATCCCTGTCAGGCTAATTCTGACTGTCGGAATGTCCCTGCCAGGCCAATTCATATCCCTGTCAGGCCAATTCAAGGGCCTGTCCCGGCAATTCAACTTGTCCCAGGTGCCAATTTAAACCCTTCTACCGAGCAATTTAGACCAATTGTACGGTAACAAGGCGTGTGGGGCTCCTGCCACTTCCTGTCCCATATTGTTACCGTACTCCGTACTCATTCACCCATACATTCATTGTGTGTGTATGTGTGAAAAGTTACCATCACCCGAACCGACCAAGTGTGTCTGCATGGCAAGTCGCTCACAATTTTAACACCCGGTCTATTCATTCATTCATTCCTTCGTTCAGACAAGCAGACATATCCACACGCCTCGTCTTGAACTGTGCTTCAGTCCTGCTAAG